AGGTGGGCCGGGCCCGGGGGGGGGGTGCAAAGGGGGGCCGGGCCCCGGGGGGGTGCAAAGGGGGCCGGGCCCCGGGGCGGGGGCCTCAACGGGAGCCAGGTCCACATGGCCGGCCAGCAGGGAGCCACTGCCACACACACCTGCCACACCACACCCACCACACCTGCCACACCACACCACAATGCTATATACACACACCACACCACACACACGCCACACACGCCACACACGCCATACACACGCTACACACACCACACCCACCACACCCACGCCACACACGCCACACACGCCATACACACCACACACACCACACACATTCCACCACACACACCACACACGCCACACACGTACACCACACCACACACGTTCCACCACACATACTACGCACACACCACACACACGCCACACAACACATATACACCACATCACACACACCACACACATTCTACCACACATACTACACACACACCACACACGTTCCACCACACACATGCCACACACGTCACACACACTGCACACACTGAACATGTCACACACTGCACACACCACACACACTGAACATGTCACACACGTCACACACTGCACACCCGTCACACACACCGCACACCCGTCACACACCCGTCACACACCCGTCACACACCGCACACACGTCACACACTGCACACCCGTCACACACACCGCACACCCGTCACACACCGCACACATCACACACACTTAACATGTCACACACTGCACACACCACACACACTGAACATGTCACACAAGTCACACACTGCACACCCGTCACACACCGCACACCCGTCACACACCCGTCACACACCGCACACACGTCACACACTGCACACCCGTCACACACACCGCACACCCGTCACACACCCGTCACACACCCGTCACACACCGCACACACCACACACACTGAACATGTCACACACCGCACACGCGCCACACACACCGCACACCCGTCACACACCGCACACACCACACACACTGAACATGTCACACACTACACACACCACACACACTGAACATGTCACACACGTCACACACTGCACACCCGTCACACACCACACACCCGTCACACACACGTCACACACTGCACACCCGTCACACACTGCACACCCGTCACACACACGTCACACACCGCACACACGTCACACACTGAACATGTCACACACTACACACCACACACTGAACATGTCACACACGTCACACACTGCACACCCGTCACACACCACACACCCGTCACACACGTCACACACACCGCACACACCACACACACGTCACACACTGCACACCCGTCACACACGTCACACACACGTCACACACCGCACACATCACACACACTGAACATGTCACACACCACACACACGCCACACACCGCACACACACGTCACACACACCGCACACCCGTCGCACACCCATCACACACCCGTCACACACACCACACACCCGTCACACACACGGCACACACACC